GTGACGTATCATAAAACGCTTATGGGAGAAGCTAGTTTGCTTCTGTATCTGATCACAATCAGAAAGATCCAAAGATGATGTATATTGTAGTTGCAATGCTCTTATGGATTCTGCTATGAGAAGTGTATCTGATCTGGAAGCTATCAACGCATCTGAGATATAGTCCTCTGAAGAACTACTCTGAAGACTTTGATGACTTGAAGTTCTGAAGGCTGAAGGCTCTGAAGACCAAGTGCAGAAAGACTCTGAAGACGTGTTCTGAAGATCAAGACTCTGAAGATTCTGAAGACACGATTTCTGAAGAATCAGTCACGAAGATTCTCAAGACTGTTTCAGAGGAAACTTAGATCTTGGAATGCTGAAGACTGGATTCTAAAGTTGAAGATTGTGTCAGAAGAAGATTCACCCAGACAGAGGCGTATTACTCATCAGATAAGCTGCTGCTATTAAATCTGATAAACATGTGCTTAAACAACTCTGATGTTGAAGCTCTCATACCAAAGTGGTTTCTGAACTACTCATCAGATACATCATCAGAAGAATCAAAGCCAGAAGCTGATATGTTCTAGCTGATAAATGAAGATCACATCATTTATGGATAAGAGTTGTCTCCCACAATGATATATTAACGTTGCAAGAAAAGGAAAATAAAGTGATGTCAGTACTATACAACACGTGAGTATTATATCCATTGGGAAATGACCGTTGGAATATTTGAATGTACATCTCTACCCTCACAACGTCTCTTTTGAATGCACTATAAAAGAAGAACATTTGACTCATTCAAATGTTAGCTAGTTAACGAGAAAGAAAGAGCTCATTACAAAGCAAGCCAGTTTGTTAAAAGGCAATAATGCTGACGAGTGAAGTTAGCAACATAGTTGATTAACAAGAAAAGCTTTATGCTAGAAGCTGCAATGCTCACATAAGAAATTTTTTTAAGTAATATGGAAACTACTGTTCTAATAATCTCATAGAGATTTATCTTTAGATTAGTTTTTGTGTTAGGAAGCAAGGAGTTATTGCTCAATACTTGCTATGTACTTAATTAGGAGTATCTGCTTGACAAGAAGCACTCATGTAATCTCCGGCAACATAAATTCATTTTAGAATTAGTGGCTCCTCAAGTGATCTTGTGAAGATCAGAATACTTGAGATGACAAGTGACTGTTGTCATTTGTGGTAACTAATAGGAGATCTTAATTGATCGGATTCTATTAGGTGTCAATGAACGTTATATCCTAAGGGATCCCTGAACGTGTCATTGTCTAATTGTTAGTCACCTACAGTTAGCTTGTGCAACTGTAATCAGTTTGGATATAGTGGATTAAGTCCTTGCTTGAGTAAGGCGAAATCACCTTGGAAGGGTGGACTGGATTAGCATGAGAGTTGCTCAAGTGAACCAGGATATATCATGTGTTCTTTACTTGTGTTATGCTTTATTATATATGCTTCCGCAATGCATCTTAAAGAACTCTATAGAAAGCAACAAGTGAAGAAACCAAGAAAAAGTTTTAATGGAGTAAATACCCAATTCAAACCCCCCTTTCTTGTGTATTTCTCACACCTTCAGTTTGGTTCTACAATTATCCTTAAGTTCTAATAATAACAAAGTATAAAAGAAAAATTTTGTTCTCTAATAGTTTGTTAAGTATGCAAATTCTTAGAATGCTTGAATTGAAGTAAAGCTAATTATGATCAAGTAAGAATCTGAGTGAAGATGACTCTGATCAAACCAAGATGCTGGACAAAATTGATCAAATCAGACTCTGAACTCTAAAAGAGATTCTAAACATTATACATCATCAGTATTTGAAACAAAGTAATCACTTGAAGAAGCTCTGAAGTTTAAGTCAACTTTGGTTATCACCAATCAACACTTCTGAAGTAGATGTATTTGATACACCCTGATTCATTCAATCCTTATTAGACTCTTATGTCTATTCTAAAGGTTCTGAACTCCCAACATACGTTAAATACTCATGTGAAAAGATAATGTTCTAGAGTGTTAAAATAGATGAGTAGTAATTATGAATAATACAAGTTAAGTGTCTAATAAAAAAGTATTGTACTTCAAACGACTATAAAAGATTTTCTATCAACTACTCAAGATTTATGACTGATCCTACCTACTCTACAACAGTAGTGTACTTTGAAGAAAATTCCAATTCTATCCTACAACATTCTTATTTGTTATTTACAAGACGGACAAAGGATTTTTGAATGAAAGTTGATGATGGTTGATAAAAAAGGAAGAACAAAAATTAATAGAAAGCTTTCGTGCAAAAAATTGAAGAAACTTCATGATAAAGAAAATTCAATAAAGCAAATCATCTTCAAGATTGAAAGGATTGAAGAAATATATTGATATTCATTTCAAATACTCTCTAGTGTAAACCTGAGTTTCATTGTGTGTATTATGCTTAGTGAGAAGCATTTTTGAAAATACAATTAACTTGATTAACAATTGTTGATTTTCTTGAGAGACTAAGTTTAGTCAGAATTCTCAATAAGCCATTAATGGATAGTCTTTGAGTTGTATTTCCTTGAGAGACTAATGTATAATTAAAATTCTCAAGAAGTCTTATACAACTGTTCTTTGATTTGTATAATCAGGTTAATTATTGGATAAGTTCTATTGAGAAGGAAACATCAATCAGGCGGGTGGACTGGAAGTAACTTCGTTAACAACAAACCATGATAAAAACTTGTGTTATTTATCTTTATCATTATCATTGTTGTTTGTGTTATTTGGTTGCAAAAGTTTTTAAATCGAGAAACTCATTTCAAACCCCCCTTTTCTTGTATTTCTTGCACTTTCAGTGTATACCACTAATATAGGTTCAAAACATATAACATATTCTGCATAAGATCATAGGTTCAAAACATATTAAATATCCAAAAACACACTGCATAAGGACATAAGTTCAAACTTAAATTAAACTATAACTTAATCTGAGCTCAACAGACAACAAACAAACAATTCTAACTTAAACTATATTTTCTTCTTTGGTGTGGTTCTCTTTGTTGGTGTAGTCTTTATTGTTGTTGGCCCAACAACACTCTTGGCTGCATCCAATCTAGTTTTAAGCCCTGGTGATACGAATGGTTTTGATAACCTCTTAATGGGTAGCTTCGTTGCCTTTCTATGAGTTGATTGCTGAGATGTTTGAGTAGCTGGTTGAGATGCCATTTTAACAATTATCTTTTTTGCCTTTCCATGAGTTAATTATTGAGAAGCTCGTTGAGTAGCTATTTGTTGAGATGCTTGATGAGTAGCTGGTTGTTGAGATACTTGTTAAGTAGTTGGTTGTTGAGATGCTTATTGTTGAGGCAGTTGACTAGCTAGTGTCACCTTACAAGTAAGTTTGTTGTGATTTGTCTTCTTGTATCTACTGCACTTGACAATGAAACACGTTCTTCTCATTTGGGAATCAGATCCATCAATCTCTCTTTGCTCTAGATTCCTCATCTTCTTTGATCTTCTAGACATTTTCCTATACTTAGGTGGTTGCACATCGGGACACTCTGTCCTAACTCACATACTTGATCCATTTATAAGATAAATCACATGTTTGTATACTGACATGTATCTTGATTTCCTGTGATACTCAAGGATATATTTATCAAGCTTAGGGTTTCTACTCTTCATAGTTGAAAGTGCATGAACACAAGGAAGGCTCGTGAGTTCCCGTCTTCTGTAGAAGCATAAATGTTTTTTCAAATTAACTGCAAACTTATCTGCTGGATTTTCAAGGTGCCTCACTTTAACGATGTGCTCCGCTGACAACCAACAACAACAAAATTTAGGTTAATACATGATACTCACATAAAACTTGTATGACAATCACAATTTTTTCTTGTATACTTATCTGACAAGCCATAAATTGGTATGTGTGCTGGTATTTTCAGTTTTCCTTCTAATATTGGGTAAAACATCAGCATTTGCCATGTTTTGAAATCTCATCCTATTGGTAGCCCATCTTTCCATCATTGTCGCAAACACTTTTTCACTCTCATCTACAATGTCATAATGATCTATTTCTATCTCATCAAGGGGACCATCATAATACTTAGGCTGAGACAAAGGGTGTTGAATATAGATATCAACACTTAGATGTACCCTATAAAGATCAACAATCTCTAAGGCACCTTTGTCATCAACCAACACATTCATCCCAAATGTGAGATCCCTATAATATATTTTCTTTATGTCACTATAACATAACTCCTTGAAGCAACTTAACAACTCAAATTAACTCCGCCTGCCAACCTTTACTTTCAAATCATCAAATGTTCCTCCTTCGTACACACTAAATTCCTCATCAATGAATGCACCACTGTGATGAATTCTGAAATGTAAATATTCGTCAATTTCAAACTAAACCCTAAAAATAAAAACCATCAACATTAAAAAACTAAACCCTAAAATCAAAATCCATAAACTTTAACAACATAAAGATTTCAGAAACCATAAACACCTAAACCTAAACCCTAAAACTATAACATTTTAGAATTGCATAAGGATTTCGTGAAACAAACCTGTAATCAACAATGATGTCTTCGATTTCACCTTTAAACAAACTTTCGATTTTCCCTACTCTCCTCCTATCGCAAATCGTACTCCTTCGCGAGTTGCTTTGCTAGGGTTCATACACCTTTAGTGTATTTTATAAACAAAAGCCTTTTAGTTTCTTTTTTTAATGTAATCTCATATCCACCTCAGCAACATGTATGCGACACCTATAATCTAAAATTGATTTTGATTAACAGAACAAACAGAAAGGACTAACATAATATTATTTGAATAATTAAAAAATCAAATTGACCTCTTTTAAAATTGAGGAACCAAAATGATCGCAAATATAAAGTTAAAAAACCAAAAAAATATTTTGTAAAAAAAGAGTACATTCCATATAAGATAGTTTGGAAAACGACGTCGTCAAAAGAATTCCGTTAAACATTATCTTCGGACTCAGATAAACAAAACGAGTATTACAATGGAGAACTTAGCTTCGCTCGCAGCTTCAACTGGAACATTTCCCACACACCAATTCCCCTTTAAAATTCAACACTCTTTCTTTCCGCTTCGATTCACTTCCCGAACCACCTTCCTTCGAATTCCACATCTATGTTGCCAAACCAGACAATGTCGCTCCAACGCATTTTCCACCAAACAAGACCTTATCGCACTTCAACAAGAAGAAGAAGAAGAAGATGAAGAAGAACAAACAGCTTCATATTCAGATGATGATACATCTTTCTTATCCCTCAGCGAGAAACCCGACCGGAATTTTGGTTTGCTGGATGATTATGAAACTGAAGAACTCGATTATGATTGCGGTCCTAATCACCGAAGCGGTTTGTCTTCTATTTCTTATTTATACAATATAAATTAGGGTTTGCGTTTTTCTTTGTTTAGGGAAGTTCGAGTTTCCCTAATACAATGTGAATGTGAATATGGTGAATGAAAATAATGACCTATATACAAAGTGTGTGGGCCAATCATAGATGATCTATTAGAACATAACAGAAAGTTAGCTAGAAAAGTTAGTTAGATATAACTAACTTGGTTAACTAACTTAACTAACATAACAACATCAACATCAAGTAACTCTAATATTCGGCCTTGTGATGCATTACTTATTCTCTCCGATTGTTATGCAGGGTATGTGGCTTTAGTTGGAAAGCCGAATGTTGGGAAGAGTACACTAGCAAACCAAATGGTTGGCCAAAAATTGTCTATAGTTACGGATAAACCTCAAACAACAAGGCATCGGATTCTTTGTATATGTTCTGGCTCAGATTATCAGGTTTAGTATTATGTGTTAGTGTTACTGCTTTCTTATGTTTGGTTTCAAATTTTTTTATTAGAATCTCGACATGACCAGTTATAAACTATGCAAAGGAGATTCAATATGTGATGCATGTTTTCTTGGTTATTGTCTTTACTTGCTCGCTTAGAGGTTTATTATCTTGTATAAATATTTCAGTGGAAAATGTTGTGCAGTAATATAATGGCATTGACATGGGAAATTTAAATTAATAAGTAATTCTCTTAACATCTTGGAATTCATTAGTTTTTCTCACGAGGTATTAATGCTAAACTCGTCATTCTTAATGCATGTACAACAGTGTTTGTATTTTATCATCATTTCTGTGACCTATGGATTTCTTGCAGATGATACTTTATGATACTCCTGGTGTTTTAGAAGAGCAAAGGCACAAGTTAGACTCAATGATGATGCAAAATGTTCGCAGTGCTGCAGTTAATGCTGACTGTGTGCTGTTTCTCGTTGATGCAAGTAAAGCGCCTGAAAAAGTATGGTTTTTGGTTTACAAAGCTGTTGCATTTTTTCTCCTTTTTGCTGAATTGCTTTCTGTGTCTAGATCGATGAAGTGTTAGGAGAAGGCATGAGAAACTCGAAAGATAAACCCCCCGTTCTATTGATTATGAACAAGAAGGATCTTATCAAACCTGGTGAAGTTGCAAAGAAACTTGAGGTTGGGACTCATTTATTAGTACTTACACGTTAGAATGTATACTTTATTCAGTTGGTATAGACATGATTTTTCATGTGTTTGCAGTGGTATACAAAATTTACTGATGTTGATGAGGTTATACCAGTTAGTTCCAAGTACGGTCAGGGGGTTGAAGATGTCAAGAACTGGATACTATCAAAGCTTCCTAATGGACCAGCTTATTATCCAAAGGCATGTTTAAATTCAAAATTTTGTTTCCTTCATTCAAATGTCCGTTGTTGCATCATCACTGTCTCATTTCACTTATAGAGATAAAAGCAGGAATCCATTAGACACTGAAATGGCCATTTCCTTTACTAGTAATCTCCTGAATATGAAAAGAGTAAACACATTTAATTTAGGATGAACTTTAATCAAACCTGGCTAATTAATTACATTGGGCTTATGGTGAATCTCAATTAAGCGAACCAAGCCGGATATGTATGTGAAAAATAGTCACTAGTACACATTAATTACTTGATTTTAACATTATCTGCTAATTTAGCTCATTGTATAAAGATGTAATATGAAATTAAAAATATTCAACATTCACTTGTCAAATTTGTACACATTTCTCATGGGTCATTTTGTAGTTTTTGAATTTATCTATCAAGGATAAACTAACTGCTTCATATCTTTAACAATCTTTGAGCATTTTAATATGCCATTATTGGCAACCACCTAATGGCATAGAAATGCATTAAAGTTAGTGTGGACTGTGGAGAAGGATTTCAGTTGCAACCAATGTGTTTCTAATCACACATGCATTGTGATTTGTGAATGTAATATTTCCTGTACTGTAAGAACTGGAAAAAGAAAGCCTTCAAGTGATGATGTACATTTGAAATGCTATGTTCTTTAATGCTCTAACAATACAAGTAGTCTGTGCAGACAGTGCACTGGTGCACTGACACGCCAATATTGCACATACATCGGCTATTGCTATAGCATGCCATTTACAACTGTTAATATTATGAGTGCCTGAATATATCTTAGTTATTTCTTCTTCCTTATGTGCTATGCTCATCTTAATGTTGCTCTTGAATTAACAGGACATTATCAGTGAACATCCTGAAAGATTTTTTATAGCTGAAATCATACGAGAAAAGATTTTTTTGCAGTATCGAAATGAAATCCCCTATGTGTGTCAGGTAGTCATGAAGTTCTTTTTCTATTTATGATTTACTGATTTGGCCACTTCCTCACTCCCCACCCTGCAAAGTGAATAAGGTTTAGAAAAACTAGAAAGAAATTGAAGGAATAACTATTTTTCTTTTCTTTTGTCAAGAAAATATAGTAGTTCTCTTTTCCTAGATACATTTACAAATACTTTCTTATTTCTGATTCTTTCAGGTGAATGTTAAAAGCTATAAGACCCGGCCAAAAGCAAAAGATTTTATACAAGTGGAGATTTTGGTTGAGAGAAAGTCCCAAAAGATTATCGTTATTGGAAGAGTATGTCACTTATATCAAAATTCAATTGATCATTTGTGAACTTATGTTATTGGTTGCAGGCTTGCTGAAAAACTGCCAAGATATTATTATGATTCTATCTTTGTAGCATTAATATTAAGCTTTATTTAATGCTGAGTTTGATATCCTTTAGCAGTAACCTACATGTATGTTATGCTCAATTACTTCAGGAAGGAAAAGCTTTAAAACTACTTGCAACAGCTTCCCGCCTTGACGTTGAACATTTTCTGCAGAAGAAAGTTTTTCTTGAGGTGCACATTTACGTAGTTTTTATTATATATCTATACTACATTTGAACCCGGTCCTCCATATTTTGCCGTTTCATATATTATTCTGTATCTATACATATTATGTTTAGATTTGAAAAATATTTACTAAACACTAGTGTTTGAACTTTGAACAGATTCAAGTAAAGATTAAAGAAAATTGGCGACAAGACGAAGGGTTTCTTAAGCACTCTGGTTATGGGGGTCAAATAGGTGTTGTATAACGCGCACATGTTAGAAAATTCACTGAGACATGTATCATATTATGTAAGTTAAGGATCCTATCATAGTATGTATCATAAAAACATAGACTGAATATGATTTTGGCGGTTACTAACCCCTTCCTCTCCTTGTAGGTATGTCCAATGATCAATTTTGTAAAGCAGATCTTGTTAACGCTCTACAACAAGAGTGAAGATGGTATTCGAGCACTAAACTGTCTCGAGTATGGTTTGATATCACATTCTGATTCAAAATGTTCAAACGAGTTTACAAATCTTTTCACGTATAGTAGTAGTTATGGATTCTTTTGATAGCTAGAAATTTGTAAAAATTCTACTTGGAATGAATCAAAATGAAATACTTTAATCCTTACAGCATGGTACAAGACAATTCTAATGTTATAGCCACCGGAGAATTACACGTAAAAGAAAGCATAAGAAAATTCCTGCAGTCCCCAAAACAACAAGGATTCTGACCCACAAAGAGGATACAAAAGCATCTAACATAAAATCATTCCATAGCCAATACCACAAGACAGAGCAAACGGACCCTATAACAGCTCCAACAACCACTTGGTCCACTGTATGAAATTTTTGTGACACCCGCAGGTATGACTGAAAACAAAGAATAAGCATAAGAAGCTGAGATTGAACATCATGATAGGAAACTTCATATTGAAAACTTTATTTACTACCAACCAGAGAATCTCATACTTGAACTCAAATCACAATTAGTTATATACTATACCTTGCAATTTGAATTTCAATTGATAATTTTACTTGTGTATTACTTAGATATTTTGTAATCAAGATACTGTGTAGAGGGAGTTACTATATTCTTACAAAATAAGAACTAATTGCGAAAGCCAGGCCACAGCTGATACTGGTGAGTTCATCTATTCTTGACACTCTAACACCTGCAACATCATTAAAGAAACTTAAAATTTAATTCATGCAAGAAGTAGAAAAAAATTAAAAAATTATTATTTCAATTACACATGATTTTTAATGCATGTGGATATAGTATCAAAATTAGTTTATTCATCGTCTGTTAAAGTTATTCATTTACTTTTAAAAATACAAACCATGAATCAGTGTTCTTTTGTAATTTGATCATTTGAATGAAAATAGAAGGTGGGAGAAATTACTTGACAAGATAATATACATGAAAGTAAAGAAGATGGATTGAGCATGTGAGGATGGCATTCCAGGGTCAGATTTTAGGGTTGAAGGTCTTTTCTGATTCAGCATTTGTTTGAGTAAAATAGAAAGCATAACATTTAAAATGGACCCTGCTGTAAACCATAAAACTTCTGCATCATGCCTCCAAATAATGAAAACACCAAAGAAGAAAGTTACTATCCACTTGCTCTGTAAACAAAAGTATCATTAGTCCCTATAATTTTTAAGATAAAAAACAATCATAAGTATGTTTCAATCGACTTATTTGAACTTATCTCATGACATAAACATTTCTGATATTATTCAGAAGAACTTATAGCTAATAGGAAAGTAATTTGACTTTGTGAAAATTGTTCGTGCATGAACACTTATATCATAAGCTCTTACGCCATAAACACAGAATTATGGACATGGATTACCAACCAATTGGTTTAGAGTTGATTCGATTTCATGGAACAAAAACCTTGGCTGATACTCAGATGATCTATCAGCAAAAGCTTCTTGTTCATCACTCTTTCCATTTCTGTCAAGAGTTCTTTTGAATCCATCCATTGCACTTGCCACCCAAAGTTTGAAAGGAACAAATCCACAAGTGAATGATCTTGAAGCAGACAAACTAGAGTATCTTTGTTTAGGATGATTTATCCTCAAAAATTTCTTTGATGGGTTGCAAGAAAGGGTGGCTGCTGTTGTCATCTGAAAGGATAGTTTCAGAATATTGTTTGAACTTGAAAGAATCTAATGTATGGAAAAAGACAGAAGTTAGTGAGAGGATGAAAAGAATAATAAGATTAATATTTCCATTGATCATGCAGGTTTTGTTATACCAACTTCACAAAGCACACAATTTATAAACTTACAATTTTTTTCATCTGGTTTCTGTAGCTGTCTAAGATGAAGACACTACCAATTTTTTGTGCGATGGATTCCAATTTTTAGTTAAAAGTAGAAACTTTGATGTGTAAGAGGCCATGGCGTCTTCTGCTCCGGTTTTTGTAGCTGTCCAAGATAAAGACAAGAAAATGATACTTTGAGATTTTTGTCAGGGCAAATGAATTTTATATATATATATATATATATATATATATATATATATATATATATATATATATATATATATATATATATATATATATATATATATATATATATATATATATATATATATATATATATATATATATATATATATATATATATATATATATATATATATATATATATATATATATATATATATATATATTAAAAAAATATAACAATGGACAACATCTTGTTGTATAGGGATGCCCTATGTATTTTTGGGGTATTTGAATAATACATAAGGCTATCTCAAAGAGAGTAGTGAGAAACTTTGTGTTATTATGTGCACTTTTTAGAAAAATTGGAGGGAGATTCGTCTCTCATTCGGAGAATAAGGTATTTATAAAGACTCCTTGAATCTGAACTAAGAGATAGATAGTAATTTATCATAACTTCACGGTTAAGAGGACATGGTCATTAGAAGAGTTATTTACTCCCTTTAAATGACACTAAGTCAATTGGCATTTGGGGCACATCACTCACACGTTCATCGCGTGAGTGGAGCTAATTTGGACGTTGTACTAGTTAAATAGTACAACTGTGTGTCGTATACCTACACGGATAGGGGGTATTCAAAGACCTTAATAGTTTATAATAGTTAGGACTTGTTCGCAGCGACAAAAATCCTGTTTGGTGGTGATTTAGTGTTTACGATGGTATGAGAGGACCAGCTCACGTGAGGTGAACGACTCTGTGTATAAGAATTATGTTTGGGATGTAATGATCTCTCTCTCTCTCTCTCTCCTGTTAGGAAATAAGTATTTATAAAGACCTTGAGTCTAGGGTTTCTTTGGGAATGATAATCGTCCACTCAGTTAGTAGCAGACTGTTTAATCCCTACTTTCTAACAAAACATGAGCCAACTATTGACTTTAACTTCTCTTTGATCAAGAAATGTTTTTTTTTCTTCCACGTTTCTCATATCTAGGTGAGTGAGAGGCACTTCGAGTGGGGCGATTCATAACGAAGGGCGACAAATGATCATCGTGTCTCCTAAGGTTATTGCCCTCCTTTTTTTACTAGGCCTTTCATAAATATATCACTACAGACGCTAAGGTCAATTAGGCGATTAGATGTCCATATTGGGCGTCCATTGCCTGATGTCATGGGCACAACTTTGGACGACCAAAGGTGTTACCTGTATACTCACCCAACCTAATGTGTTTGAATTTTCCTTCTTTTTTCAAATTACTCATCCTTAGGACCTAATAAAATTATACTGATACACTTTCCACCAAAAAAAAGTTATAGAAATTGTAAAGGACAAAGTGATTTAGTTGCTCCTAGGTCTCAGGCGTATGTGACAAGTGCTGCCTCGATTTAGATGCTCAGGGTGGTTGTTTTTGACCGAGACTTTAAGTTGAGTACTTTAGTAGACACTTTAAATTAAATCCATTAGGAGAAACTATTGGTTGAGTCCCTCACAAGAGACTTTAAGTTGAGTCCCTCAGTCAAGATTAAGTTGAGTCTCTTAGGTAGACTTTAAGTTGAGTCCCTTAGGTGAGAGTTTTAGGTCAAGCGAGAGTTTTAGTTGAATCCTTTATGTGAGAATTTAAGTTGAGTCTCCCATGTGATATTTTAAATTAAGTCTCTTATGCGAGACATTAGTTGAGTCCTTTATACAAGACGTTAGTCTGGACTCTCTTATCACTCCAATCCATAAGGAGACAATGGTCTTTCACTAAAGATCCAATCTAACATCTGAATTTTGATCCAAAATATTATTTAAATAGTTATTCACTTGCAAAAAATTGTAATTTGTTATATATTTTATTTTAAACAAATAAATTTTGATTTTAAGTTCTTAAATTTTAATAATTATTTAGAGAATTTTTTTTACTATCTTCCAATTACCTAACAAAATAAACCGTCTCTGCAATTCAAATTTGTATCTAATTTAAACAATCTACTAAAGTTATTTATTTAATAAAATTACAAGTTTGATGAAACGCAAAATAAAGTAAATCAATGCTAAAAAAACCCATTTTTCTCCACTCACGTAATGTCAATCATTCATTCATGAGATCTTCAATTTTACTAATACTTAAGATATTACTCAACTTTTATAATCCACACTCATAAAAAAAAATCAAATAAAAATTTAAAAACTCAAATATTATTTTCTTTTATAGAAACTGAATTAAGTACGTCACTTAACAAATTTTTATCAAAATGAGAAAATATTTTTACACACACACACATATATATATATATATATATATATATATATATATATATATATATATATATATATATATATATATATATATATATATATATATATATATATATATATATATATATATATATATATATATATATATATATATATATATATATATAATTTATTTTACATTAACTAAAAAAATAATTTACCACTAAGACACCACATAAAAATACACATATCATATAAAAGATAAAATATAAGCGCGTTACTTAGACAACACCACTTTCACAAACAATTAATCTAAATAATAACACATGATTACATGGCTAAAATATTAAATTTTTAATACTAAATTATATAGTTCTTCATTTAAAATTATATTTCTATTATCTTATTTTTCAATTCATTTTTACTAAAAACAACCCAGAAAATAAGTAAGGACCGTTTATATTGCGATATTAAAAATAAACTATATTTAATACTCCACATTTTAACACCAACAAATATATACAAAACAACCCATTGCCTTTATTTCTTGTTTTAGGACATGTGTCATTTTTAAAGGTTAAATTTATATTTGAGTTTGAATAGAAATACCAATCATCCATTAAAATACTGATTGTACCATTTTTATATACTATCCCAACCATTCATTTAATATTATCTGTATTTAATTTTTTATCATATTAAAAAAATTCTTTCACCTTTTTATTCATTCTTATACGTGATAAGGTGAATTTTATAAATTTTTAAAAAAAATTATCACTATTTTTAAATAAAATATTATATAAATCACCTTTTCAAAATAATTACTAAATTAATCATGTTTGGGTTGGACACAAAGAGAACGCGTCATTTGAATTGGCGCATGCATGCATGCATTCCTACACTTATGCGCCATCATGGAGTATGCATAACCTATGCGGCATATGGATTGACACATGCACTCCTTGTCATAATGCATACACCATTTGATATGGCTACTACTTTATACCATCTTTCTTATAAATACAACACCACCTCCTCTTCATTTTCCGTACCTCTTCTTACTATCTCCTTCCATTTTTGTATAATCTCCTTTTATTTTATTTTTTCTAATGTCTTCATAAATTTGTCCCTATATCCACATGAGAAATGTCGATTTAATTTGTTCAGTAGTAATACCTCATACCTCACATAAGCCTCACATTTGACATAAAGTGAAACCGTTACATTTAAAATTATGTTGTTGTGCTTGGTACAACATTGGGACAGTTTGTACGATTGTGTCCGGTCTGACAACATGAACTACATAATCTCACCATTTTGTTCGCTGTATCCATTCCGATACGAATACACGTGCTGTTAGGGCGACCATTTTTCTTTTTTAGCATAATTTCATTGTGCCAGACTATATCCCCTTCATATATAGGCCAATAGTCCTCTTTTTCTACCATTGAAAAGCTAGTGTTGTAGACATTGCATAGGTTTAAGACTTGGTAAACAAGGGACAACAAGTTGGAAGGGTCTTGGTGAGCCATTGAACATGCCACTATGACATGGGAGCAAGGCATATGAAAGGCTTAAAACTTTCCGCAGTCGCACCAACTTCTATCTAGTTCTACTCGATAGGATCCCCTCGGTCTCCCTTCATTGTGATCCATTGACTCAACAACACCGAACCAACCTTTATTACGGTAAAACACTATGACCACACGTGTGTTAGCTTTGTTAGCTTCCTCTTTAATGAATTTCATTGAACTATCACTAAATAGTTGCCTAGATAGTAAGACAGAACTCCATTTTGAATGTCTGATATCAAAAAGTGACCCGAGCCTAAAATAGTTTGCCCTCACCAAAGCGATTATAGGTAGGTTTCAGACGCCTTTTAAAATAGAGTTCATTGGTTCCACGAGATTTGTTGTCATGTGGCCCCATCGTTGTCCATTGTCGTATGCCCTGGTCCACTTCTCCAATGGAATATTGTCGATCCACCTTACTGCATCTACATTTGTCAATATGATGTCTTCGGGTTGTGTTTGAAGTCTGTTAATGCATACCCTGCGTTAGCAAGAAGTCTGGAATCTTTTGAAGCAAGAAGACTGGAATCGTTTAAAGCAAGAAGATTGGAATCGTCTAAAGTAAGAAGCCTCTGTTAAGGAAGACTGAAATCGTTTTAAGCAAGAAGACTCTGTTATAAAAGAATAATTCTGCATCTTCTGAACAAGTTTCATTAGCAATTATGTAGATATTGCTGCAAAGGAATTTGTTTTTATCAAGTCATCAACGTAACTCTGAAAGTGTTCATTCAGATTAGTTCTGATCAATACTCTGATGAAGGAAACCTCAGAACCTGTGAACTCTAGACTCTGAAGTCTCATTCCAATAGGGCTGGAAATGAGTCGAGTCGAGTCGAACTCACCTCAGCTCGGCTCGACTCGTTAAGAATTGTTCGAATTCGAGTTCGAGTTCGAGTTTGACACGAACTTTTTTTTAAGCTCAAACTCGACTCGTTATAAGTTCACGAACAGTTCGGTTCGACTCGTTAGGTTCATCTCATTAGGTTCAGCTCACATGGTTCACGAACTTAAAAACTATTTTTTTAAATATATATATTTTTTTAGTATATTTGACATTTTAAAT